CGATCTTACCGAACTTCAGATTATCCAGATCGTATTTGTTGCTGATCTGCGCGAAGATCGGTGCGAAGTTCACGCAGGCCGGATTCCATACGGCCCCGAACGCCACCAACCACGTAACCTTCTTGTTCCTGGCCAGCTCCTCGTCCAGACCGGAAACCCCGCGGAAATACACGACGTTGTCCGGACCAGAGTACGTCGGTTCCGGAAACAGCAAAGCGGATACTAAAAAAATCAAGATGTTAGTTGAGTAAAATTATTGATTAATCAAATTCTTACAGATGAACACGATTCCGAAGATGATGCCCATCAGCCAATCGGCGTAGAAGAATAGGATAAGATTGGCGACTTTTGTGTAGATGAAGCTGGCAGATAGGTAATTGATCATGGTGACACTTCCAGCCCTCCTCGTCCGGATCATCACCACAATCAGCAGGAAGAACAAGATCTCCGTTTCCCTCTGAAATTCAATTAGCATTTAGTATGTTAATGATATATTAAATAATTAAAGAAACTCACCCCATTGAATTCGCACTCCTCACAGTTGAATAAGTAGTTGCAGAGTCCGGGCAACTTCTTCAGGGTGATGTAGGAAAACGTCAGGATCAGGTTCAATATGTAGTAGGGCTTGACCAGCTGCCTCAGGTCCTTCTTGAGAGACATTTTTAATTCAAGATTGATTCCAGACAAGATATTCTCTTTCAGGGCAGAGGTGTAGAGATCTTTTGGGCAGCAGATATAGATAGACACGGAGCGAAGTTGGCGACGAACTGCACAGTCCGTCCTTGTTCCACTTACGCTCAGGGATTCCCTTTTTCTTTGTTGGATAAGGATGACAGCCGATGGGCGTGAAGTGAGCGCTAAACAGTATGGACGAAGGCGAGATCTGCAAGTCAATTGGATGTAATTGCGGTAGTTAATTTCTTATTTAGCTGGTTTATCCGGTACAGGAAGAGACGAGGAAGACGTGTGTTGTAATTGTATTATAGAGAGAGAGATGGACGTACCCTTCGAGGACGATAACAGCTTGGACGACGATGGACAGGAAATCTTCATCAACTTCCCTGTGGAGGTGCAGAAAGCAATTGAGCAAGTACGTAGGCGTAGCTTTTAGGCTTTATCATGTTTCGTAAATTGAATAAACAATGGTTTGTGGTAATCAGGTTTTGTTTACGAAATACGACTACGTTAATTTCTTATTTATATATTGACGTTGCAACTATGCTGCAGCTGAATATCCACCAGGTGGTGCTCAATGTAAACTTTTGAATTTTCAAATGTTTTAACTTTTATTTATTTAATGGTTTTCTTATTTCAGGTTTTACCCAGTAAAGATCCTCTGGATCGTCCAGACTTCAATACGATCGATTACATAAACTCGCTGTTCCCGACTGAGCAATCGTTGGCGAACATCGACGAGGTTGTCTCCAACATGGAGACGAAGATTCAGACTATAGACAACGAAATCAGCACGGTGGTGCGCGGTCAAACAACGGCGAGTCAGGATGGAAGGCAGGCCTTGGATGAAGCGCAGAAGGTCATAAAGCAGCTGTTCGTCCACATGAAGGATATCAAGGAGCGAGCGGAAAAGTCCGAGGAGATGGTCAGGGAAATCACCAGGGACATAAAGCAGCTGGATTGCGCGAAGAGGAATCTTACTTTAGCCATAACCACTCTGAACCATCTGCATATGCTCGTCGGCGGAGTGGATACGCTGAAGAGTTTAACGCAGAAGCGATTGTACGGGGAAATAGCGCTACCTTTGCAAGCCATCAGCGAGGTCATGGCGCACTTCGAAAGCTACTCGGACATTCCTCAAATTAAGAGTTTGAGCGATCAGGTGAAGATGATCCGCTTGGAGCTCGCCGATCAGATCACCAAAGATTTCCACGACGCTTTCAACTCCTCCTCGAAGATGACGCTGCCCAATAAACAGCTGGCCCAGGCCTGTTTAGTCGTGTCAGCGTTAGATCCTAAAGTCAAGAAGGATTTGTTGAAGTGGTTCATCGAGCTTCAACTGGTCGAATACAGCCATCTCTTTGAATCCACCGAAGACACGGCGTGGCTGGATAAAATCGACAAGAGATACGCGTGGCTGAAGAGACATCTCTTGGAGTTTGAGGAGCGTTTGGGTAACATGTTTCCGCAGAACTGGGAGGTGAGCGAGCGGATTGCCGTGCAATTCTGCAACAATACTCGAGAGGAACTGGGGAAGATCATGGCGAAGCGGAAACACGAGATCGACGTTAAATTACTTCTATTCGCTATACAAAAGACGTCGAATTTCGAGGGACTTTTATCGCGGAGATTCACCGGCATCACGCTGGAGCATATCGAAAGACCATTAGTGGAGGACCAAGAAAACTTCAATCCGTTCGCCGGTTTGATCGGTCAATGTTTCGTGCCTCACCTGAAGATTTACATTGATAGCGTCGACAGGAATCTGCAGGAGTTGCTGGAGCGGTTCATGCAGGACGAGAAGTTGAATTTCACAACGGAAACATCGGATACGCAAGCGACCGTGTTTCCCAGTTGCGCCGATCTCTTCGTGTTTTACAAGAAGAGCATGATCCAATGCAATCAATTGGATAGGGGTCAATCCATGCTGGATTTGACACGGGTGTTCCAGAAATACTTGAGGGAGTACGCGGTCAAGTTGCTGCAGAACAACATCCCGAAGATCGAGCAGCAGATGGGGAAGAGCGCGAGCGTTCAGTCGATCACCAGGGATCTGCAGAAGATGTCCACGTCGGGTTTAATGCAGAATTTCTCTTCGCTGCTCAAAGAGGGCGAAGCCACCAGGTTCACGAAGGAGGAGCAAGGGAAGATTTGCTGTATACTGACTACGGCGGAATATTGTTTGGAGACCACTCAGCAGTTGGCGGAGAAACTCAGGGAGAAAATAGAACCGGAACTCGCGAACCAAATAGATCTGACGCAAGAGCAAGCTCATTATCAAAGGTAATTTTTTTCGTTTATATCAAATGATTATGTTTTTTTTAATTTTTCGTTTTGTAGCGTGATATCAAATTGCATCCAAATCCTCGTTCAAGATTTGGAGAATGCCTGCGAAGCGGCGCTTATATCAATGAGCAAGGTATGATTTCGATATCTAATTTGAAGCTTTTCCAATGCAAAATCTCTATTTTTTTCTTCTTCTAGATTCAATGGCAAAACATTGATAGCGTCGGTGATCAGAGCCCATACGTTACCGGATTGACGACACACTTCAAGGTGACCATTCCAATAATCCGAGATAACCTTTCCAATTCGCGCAAATACTTCACGCAGTTCTGCATAAAATTTGCAAACTCGTTCATCCCGAAGTTCGTCTCGAACATCTACAAATGTAAACCGATCAACACGGAGGGGGCAGAGCAACTGCTGTTAGATACGCACATGCTGAAGACCGTTCTCCTCAACCTTCCCTCGATCTGCTCGCAGATCAACAGGCAAGCGCCCGCTCCCTACACGAAGGTAGTCAACAAGGGCATGACCAAAGCGGAGATGGTGCTGAAGGTGGTGATGACGCCCATCGAGCCTCCGAAGGCGTTCATCGAGCAGTACATGAAACTGCTACCAGACTGTCAGCAGAGCGAGTTCTACAAGATTCTGGATATGAAGAGCGTCAAGAGGCAGGAACAGGCCGTCCTGGTGGAGATGTTCAAAACGCAGAAACCGGGTGGGACGGACAGAGAGGACGAACGCACCGAGGACGGAGGCAGTATTAGGAAGCTCGAAAAGATGATTAAGAAGAAGTTGCCTAACTCTTAGACACGTTTAAGAAGAAAAAGTATTTTGTATTTTGCGATTTTATGTACATATAAAATATAAGTATTTATTATTAACAAATTGAATTTTACACTTGATCAAACACCATAAAAAAGGACTTTTCTTATACTAAATTTAAGCCTTTACAGAAGTGAGGCGAATATATACGCCCTATCATTCGCACAGGAGACTTCGCTTATGCAAAATTATATGCATGATGGCGCTGCTATCGAATCTTAGTTTTAAGTGTGGAGCCACCAGTATTTTTCAGACACAGACCTAAAAGCTTTTGCGTCAATTCTGTTACAGTAAAGGTGAGTCAACACTACAAGTAAATACGTACGATTAAAATTGATAAACGTCAGATGCAATAGACGTACTTCTCTGATCATATGTTATTGATCTGCTTGGACGTACGTCTCTCATCATATGTTACCGATTTGGGTCATTTATCTAGAGGTTCGAACCCCCAGCTATTGTGTTGAATTGAATCGATTTATATTAGATTCAGGTTTTACTCGAGAATTTCGTAATAATCGGTAAGTAGGGATTTTATCCAATGCATTCTTCTTAGTTCACGTTACAAATGTAATTATTGCATCGAAATGTACAGTGTCGAACTGGTGTACGAATGAATCCGAAAAAACCCCTACCCATTATACTTTCATAAACCTAACCTATCTTAACATTAATTCAAATATACATTTTTGGAAACTTTTTTATATAAACATAACAAGAAAATTAGAGATTATTAATGCAATTTTCAGAACTTGATTTCAATGAAACATTTGTATTATTTTTTTTACAGTTATGGATGTTGAAGAAGATGATCAAGTTATCCGTAAATCGAGCGTATCGATCAACACGAAGAAGAAATCTGGAAAGAGGAACATTATTTCGTTTTTACCGCCGAAGAAGCGAGTTCATAACGTCGAAGAATCGCTCGACAGAGTTTACATGTTCCATCGTTTGGTCGCGTTCCCTAACGACGATTTGGCTCTGCAGAATAAATTCAACGCGAAGAGAGACCTCAAATACATCTGCAACTTTTGCGAAAAACCGTATTTCAATCATATGAAGATGAAGCTGCACATGCTTTTAAACCACGACGTGAAATATTGCAAGATCTGCGATCTCTTCCTGTTGGACGAGGAAGATGTGCGGAGACACAACGAGAACGTGCACGCGTATTGCAAGTGCCAGATATGCCAGAAGAGCATTACTGAAGACCTCGAAGAACATTACATGGAAAACCACGACGCGAAGATCTGCAAGTACTGTCACCAGGTGATGCGACCTTCTAGCCACTACGAAACGCATTTACTGGAGAAACACGGTGTCAAGAAGAATGGTTTAGTCTCGATGCACGAGGAAAATATCATTGGGATATCGGACGGAATCAATTTTCATTGCAACCTGTGCGGACCCGCTTGCAACAAGCTGTTCTTTGGGCACTTCTGTTATTACCACAAGATCAACATCTACGTTCTGGCTGATATATTGAAAAGACTCGACATCGAGATCAAGCAGTTCAACACGATCAAAACGGACGAATTGGAGATCATCGTGGGAAACGATAAATTCTGCAATTTATGCCCGAAAACCGTTCCCAAATCATTCCATCGAGTCTTCTGCGAAAACTATCTACCTTGCAAGCTGTGCTTCGAAATCTTTGAAAACACCGAACTTTTAGCAGATCACGAGAAAGAGACGTGCGCTAGTAGAGATGAAAGCCAGTGCGGATTGTGCAAAGAAAACTTAACGGAAGACCATTTGATGATTAAACACAAAACATCTGTATTCGAGCGTAAATTGATCAATTACAAGTGCAATTCGGTGTATTGCGCTTTGTGCGATCAATTGTTAAACGATATGGAATTGTACAAGCATTTCAAAGATCACCATTTCATTGATGATGGATTCATCTTGATTAATATAGGTTCAAGAAATGTGAACGAAGACATCGATGAATCTAATATGAACAGCGCGGAGATTGACGACGAAGACTTCGTCTTCGACAACTCTGATTACAAATCGGATTTCAATCCGAAGTACGTCAAGTTCTGTTTCGACGAAAGGGTTGTCGATGTAGATAATTCAGTTTCATGCGATTACTGCAGTGAAGAGTGTGACGATAATGCCAGTTTTCTCGAACATTTAAGCGTTAAACACGAATTTCAGGTAGGTTGCTACATTTCGCAATGCCAACTATGTTCTTCGACTAAGAAGCATATAATGCGGAAACATTTGAACAAATACGAAGAGATCAGAGCGAAGCCCTACGAGTGCAAGATATGCCACAAATCGATATTCGCCATAGACACGAGGATTCACATCTTGGAGAAGCACAGCGATTCTTTACCCGATTTGGATTTGAAGCGTTTCGGTGTTAAGTGCAGATTCTGTGAGGAAATGTTCTGGGAGACGGGGCCGATGGAGAAGCACGAATTGCTCGAACATCTAGATGACAACAAGCAGCATTTCTTCGAGTGCTCCAAATGCGAGAACACTTTTTGCAGCTTGGTAAAACAATCGGTATAGATTCGTATTCATGATTAAATTAAAATTGTGATGATTTAACAGGATAGTCTGAGGAAACACGACGACTGCGAAACGTACACGGACGTCACGTATCAATGCACCATTTGCCATTTAGTTTACGCGAGTATTCCGAAGATCAGGGAACATTTCAACGATGATCATCCGACAACGTCGTTGTTCTTCTGCCCTTATCCCGATTGCGAGAAGAATTTCACGGTTCTGAGGTACGCGAAACATCATATGATCGAAATGCACAAGAGGAAGAACAAATTGATGGCTCTCAAGGAGTCCACTTTAGAGTGCAGCATTTGCGAAAAAAAATTCACAAAGATGAACTCACTTAAAATACACATGAGCTCTCATGGGAGAGGTTTCAAGTGCAAGGTCTGTGCAGAGAAGTTCGACACAGTTGAAAGCAGGTTTGAATTTATCGAATTGCGTGAATATAAGACTGACTAATAGTTACCATCGCTTCTTAGAAACTTCCATTTCAACAAGGAGCATTTCGAGGAATCTCTGTACAGGTGCCAAATATGCCAGAAATCGCATCCCAGCAAAAGGGCGCTCAACCTTCACCACAAGATACACCACATGGAGCACCGAAAGGCCATCTGCAAAATCTGCAACAAAGAAGTCGGCGTGAGTTTACATCTTCTCCAGATGACTCAGCTTTAAATATTTAATCTTTATTTTCTCACCTGAAGATCGTCTACATGAAGGAGCACATGTTGATCCACAACGGCCCCATGATCCAATGTCCTCACTGTCCGAAGTCTTTCACCGCCAAATGCAACCTCCGCAGACACATCAGGTTGCACACGGGCGAAAAACCGTACACTTGCCCCTACTGTCCGAAGACTTTCAGCGACAAAGGAGCGTGCAACATGCACGCCAACATTCACACCAGAAAACTGTCGGTCACTTGCGAAGTCTGTGGCAAGGAGTTCAGCAAACAGCAGAAGTTGTTGGTCCACATGAAACGGCACACGGGCGAAGGTTCACAACAAAATCACACTAAAAAACTATAAATAATTACAAAAAAAAATCATTTGTTTAGGTATGGAGAAATGCGAGGTTTGCGGAAAAGAGTACACGACCAATACGGAATTGCGGAAACACGTGTCCTTGCAGCACAAGGAATTGCTGGATCACAACACGCAGTTTATCTGCCATTGCGGCAGGTTCTTCACCTCCGAGCGATTCCTCAAATTGCACATAAGCAAAGTCCACGATCCTACTAAAGAGGTGAAAAAGAGGAACCAACCAAAGAAAATCAAATGCTTTCAAGTGAGTTACATTTCCTTTCGCAAGCAACAAGAATTAATCATTATTTTCTCTCTCGCAGTGTCTGCTGTGCCAAAATTACTATTCGCTGAGAACGATCATCGACAATCATCTGAGAACTGTTCACAAAGTGGCGAAAAAGAAATGTTCAAAGAACATGCGGCAGTTAAACGCAAGTGAAGCCATGGTGCTTCAAGCGGAGACGCCTAACATCTTCGAAGAAGATGTGAAGACAGAGGAGATTCCTAAACTCGACGAAGAAGATGCAAAGAAAGACGAGATTCCTAAAGTCGACGAAGAAGATGCAAGAAAAGACGAAGACGAAGATAATGTGAAGATTAATAAAGTCGATGAAGATAACGCTAAAGAAACGGATACAAAGAGACTCGATCGTAGAAAGTTGAAAACGCCTTCAAAATGTACCACATAAATTTAAAATTGTTGTAATGCAAATAAATTAAAAAAAAAACATATGTAGAAAATAATAATAATGTATATTTTGTATAAATCACAGCTTCGATTTAATTGGAATCATTTAATTAAGAGCGTTTGGAGCTTATCCAATCCTTGGCGCAAAGAATTGTCGAAACCTTGGCCACGTTTCCTCTCCACGACGGCGATTTCCTCTCGCAATTTGTTCAAGAGAAGTCTCATGTCTGTCGGAATGACTCGCGACAGAACGAAGCACATTTGGTAAAAGGTGCTCGTGCTGAACGGCAAATGTTTCTTGGTAACTTCGACAAGAGAATTCTGGATGGTTTCGGTGCAGCCGCCGCTCTTGTAATGCTCCGATCTGATCACTGCTTTCAGGAACTCGAGTACTTGAGGTTTTTGGCTTTTGAACATGTAGACTTCCAGAAGCGCCGACAAACTATTCGCGATTATGATGTTTGGTGATTCGACGGACTCCAAGATGTTCGTCAAAGTGTTGATGGCTTTGAAGATTTGCTCGTCGGTGGCGCGAGAGACACCTTGCAAGAAGAACTCTTTGTTGATTTTGGTTAAAACAGAAACTGTTAATTTCTCGTTGCCCAGAAGCTTTGCAATCGGACTAGGTCTCGTCTTGAAGAGCACTATATACTTGACGACGAGATTCTTTAAGATCCTTTCCAAGTACGGATCGTTCACGGATAAATTGTGGATCGCGTTCACGTAGAGATGCCACGTCCGTTCGATCGCTGCCAAGATATAATCGACTGGTTTTATACCTCTTTGAACTTCTGTTGGTAACAAGAGGATGTCTATGTAATTGCTCAAGTTGTTGGAGGCGCTCGAACGCGAGTACAGCTGCTTCCCGCAAGAGTTCAGGATGAAAGCCATGAACGTGTAAATGTGCTGCGTGTACAAAGGATTACTCAAATGCTTCGCAATCCAGACATCCAAATTGGCGAAGCACAGCTTAACAGTCTCTTTTTTATCTCCGCCCGATAAAGATTCTATGAATTTAACCACAGGATCTGCACAATCTTCTAAACCCACAGAATCAAGCACGATGCGAGTCAAATCGGGGTTGGATTCACCAATCAAACCGCACTGAAACCATACCCTGATCACGAAACCTTCTATATCTTGCGTCAAAATGCCCAACCTCTTGCATATCGACGCGAAGAAGTTCAACATCACTCCAACAGAAATAGCTTCTGACGCGAAATAAGCAACAGTTTGCACAAGAACGGCGCTCGAATTCACCGCTATTAAAGCTGTCAACGATCCAACCAAAACTACAGGATTTGCAGAAGTAGCCAGTTTCTTGAGCGGAGCTAACACGTTCGTTACAATCACTTTCTCGTACTCGTACCAAGCGCCGAGCTCCACGATTCTCTCGATGGAAATGATCAGAACGTTCAGCAGAACAGATAAATCCGATACCTGACAGTGCTTCACGTAATTCTGGATCCACGGACCAAAGAATTCGCTTTGATCGAGGTTCATGTTACTGCTGCAATGCATCAGAGTCTCCAATTGATTGGCGAAAGTCGAAACCAAATTGAATTGCGTTCGACTCTGCGAGCACGCTGTTAATTGATTGAAGAATTCTTTGCTCACAACAGGTTTATCGTTCTCCAGTTGCAGTTGAATCTACAAAACTAAATTTTAGTATAAACACGTTCAAACTCAATCTAATACGTACCAAACTAATCTGCAGATTCCACACCAAGAAAGAGGTTTGCTCTGGTAACGCGTCCAGCATTTCTCCAAGTTTCTTCAGTATTTCATCGCGCGCCAACGGATTAAGTACAGCAAACAACAAACTGATATTGTACACTCCGTTAATGTTAAGTTTAGCGAATTTAGCATTGGAGAATCTCGTGTAAATCCTACCTCTGAATTTGTTCCACTGTTGATGCTTCTCCAAATGCCTGTACAACATCTTCAGGAACATCGTGTAACCGCAGATGGGTCTAAAACTTTTGGCCACCTCCAGCAACTTACCTTTAATTTCAAAACACTCGATCCTCTTGTAATAAAAGTCCCAAGTCGTGTAAATCATATCCAACTTGGGACATTCAATCCACATCTCAAGGAGTGCGTCAACCTTTCCAAATAACTCGATCAACTTTTCCTCGTTCACGTCTTTCAGTATGAAAGACCACTTTTCGTTTAAAAAGTCAATGTTCTCTCGGACCTTAAGAAACGGACAATCGAAACTTTGTAGTTTCGCGATCGCGTGCAAATGGTGCAAGCAGAATTCCGCGTCGTAACATTCCATCGCGACGTTGAACATTTCCCAAAAATCCAAAGATTTTATACCGCAAAATATCTGTACCTGCAGCCAAAGCTTCTTGAAACAATCACAACTATACAAAGGCCTTTTCTTCTCGAAGCATTTGTAACTGAAATAACTCAATTGCTTGATGATATGTGGAATGTCCACTTGATTCTCTATAGTTGCCAATAGCCAAAGCAATTCCAAATACAAATGAAGATAATCATACAGCGGACCTTCCCTGGCTAATGCCAGTTTACCTAAAGTTAACTCATCCAAATCGGTGAGGTGAGTGATAGAGTCTTTGAAGTTCATTACATTTGCATCATCATGTTCGAGTATGTTTCTACTTGCTTTTAGTAAATCCACTATGTACGTTTTGTGGTCTTGCAGGTGTGATGTGATGATGTCGTAGTGCAGCACATCTTCAGCTGATTTCAACTTCTGAATGGCCATCCTGAAGAGCATCTCCGACTCAGATTCCAATTGGCATTGGTGAAGAGTTCGTCCACCAATCTTGTAATATCCATACTCCTTAGTAGTATTAGTCACAAAGGATATTTCCTCATTGATTCCATCCAAAAACACGTCACGTTCATCTCTTAATAAACTCTTGCAAAACATTACTAGTCTCAAATAATACTTGTAGGTTAATTCATGGTTTTTGGCGCCAAGAATATGATAATAGTGATGAAGTTAGATTTATATACAAACTGAATTTCAAATATTTCAAGAAGTGGATTTTCCTTGTTCAATTTCTTATTTATTTCTAGAATGAAATTTGTATTAACTAGTTAGACAATAGTTATGGAATGAGTTAGAACATAAATTATTATGTATAAAAATATTTAAAAAGTAATAATAAATTAATTAATAGAATAGTTGGTGGCTTGATGACTTTGAGAATCATTTGGATTTGTGTAGACTCTCCAGCTCTTTGTATAGCTCAGATCTGTCTAGGATCTTATCCAGTTCCTCATCAGAGAAAACGAATCCGTTCGGATGAATTATATTGCTTTTCTTCTCCTCATCTAAGAACTTCATGAACCTTGTCTCCAGCGAATCCTCTTTGGCTTCCTCTTTGGATACCACGAATTTTCCATCTTTGATAACAAGCTTCTCAAGACGTCTCTTCATGGTGCCGGAATTCAAGATTTGCTCATCGATGGTGTTCTTCGTTATCAGCGTGTAAATCATCACCGGTTTGTTCTGGCCAATCCTGTGGCATCGATCTTGCGCTTGGATATCGACCTGCGGATTCTGTAAAGAAAATTCGAAGATCATCAGTGATGGAAACACTTCTCATTTCATCGATTTTACCCAATCACGATCGTAGAATATCACAGTGTCCGCAGATGTTAAATTCAAACCCAAACCGCCGGCCCTCGTCGAAATCAGAAAGACGAAGACGTTGGGATCGTTGTTGAACCTATCGATGCTCTCCTCTCGAGTCTGCATTTTACTTGACCCATCCAATCTGCAATACTGGTACTCTCTGATGTACATGTAATCCTCGATGAGATCGAGCATCGAGGTCATCGTGCTGAAGATCAGCACTTTATGATTGCCCTTCTTCAGCTTGTGCAGAACAGCGTCCAGCACCTGCATTTTACCGCTTTCCGTAATCAGATGCTCGTTGAATCTCTGCACCCTCCCGAACTCCAAGTGATTGTCCACCAAGAAAGGATGATTGGCGATCTACAATAAACTTTATAAACATTTGTCTTTCCTATTAAGAGTAATTCGAATAAGAAAGACCTTCTTCAGAGTCACGTGAAAGACGGAACACATTCTGATTTTCGCGTAATATCTCTCCATGTCTTCGAATTCGTAAATCTTTTTCTCCTTTTTCGCTGAGTACGAGACGGTCTTATACTTTGGAGCGTCGTCCGACTCTGCAAAACTAATTCGCTCAGTGCATTTCCGTTTGGCGCGCGGCAACTCACATATTTCTTCCACTGGACCTGAAAGCGCGTACTTGATCGTGTACTTGTAGAGATCGTGCTGTGTATCTGTCAGAGGACAGTACACCAAAGTCTCTTTCTTTGGCACGAAATCGGGTAGCACATCTTTCTTGATGCGCCTCAGCATGAAAGGACCCAAAGTTTTGTGGATCTTACTAATCAAAGTATTGTTCTCCTTGATTTGATTCTTAATGTTATTTTCCTTAAAAAAACAAATATTTCCACTCTAACAATATGAGCAATTCATTCCAATCAAATACCTCTAAATCCTCAAGCATAATCAAAGAGGAAAAAGCCTCCATGTTGTTGAAGATTTGCGGCATCACGAAATTCAGCAAAGCCCACAACTCTGTCATGTTGTTTTGCAATGGAGTTCCAGTTAATAACAGTATATTAAAGCATTTGAATTTTCGTAAAATCCTGCAACAACGATACTAATTAATATAATCTAAATGGTTTCTCCCCTTTCCTTCAATCTAATTCAACAGAAAAGAACAAGAACCTACATTGACAATTTGCTTTGATGGTTTTTAATTCTTTGCGCTTCATCGATGACCAGATACTTCCAGCTGACCTGCTCCAGAAAATTTCTCTCACTTAACACAGTTTGGTAGGTGGTTAAGAAGACTGGCCTCAGCTTCTGATCGCCTAACTTCTTGTACAACAAAATTTCCTTCTTGAGCTCGTTCCGCTCCGTCGCAGACCCGTGGAAAACCACCACCTTGAACAGCGGCGCGAATCTCTCGAATTCCTTCCTCCAATTCGAGATGGTCGACAATGGGGCAACGACCAAATGCGGTCCAGCTATCTTACTCTGTATGAGATGCGCGAAGAACGCGATGATCTGCACGGTTTTACCCAAACCCATCTCATCGGCCAGTATCCCGTTAATACCGCCCAAAAACAACGTCTAGAACAACAAGTTTCAAATATAAGCTCAAGCGTTTTCATCTTCGATATAATTTACATGCATCCAAGTGACGCCCTCGATTTGGTACGGTCGCAATTCACCATCGAAATGGTTTATTTTGCTGATCAGTGTAACTTCATCATTATTACTTTTACTATTATTACTATTCACTTCAACCAAAGGCTTCTTTTTACTGAAACAAAAATAATAATCATCAAATCAATGAAGCAATCGTTTATATAAACTCACTGTTTGATTTCTACAAATTTACTCTTCCACATATTCGAGTATTCCTCGCTGATGTTCAACAATTTTGTTATACTCTCAATGGCTTTGGCTTTACGCTCCTCCTTCTCACCGCTCTTCATCTTACTGATCATCTCCTTGGCACTCTTGCTTTCCTCACTCATCTCCTCCGAGCCATTGGAGCTGCTCGAGGCAAAGGAATCCCTGCTGCTATCATCGTTGAAAGAGATCTTCCTTTTCCTACCCATTTTAACTTAAGTTAAGCTACAGATTAAAACTGAAAAATGAAATAAATTCATCACATAAAAAAAAGAAATAAACATATACAGAACACCTGATCAAATAAACGAAACGTTCAATTTATACAGGCAGGCGATGAAAACAAAAGATACTCACTCACAACAAATAGGATAACAATTAAATAAGATAAAAAGACTGTCCTAGACTGCTCTAAAACGGAATGAAAACATCCTTCGCCGGTTTCTCCGATAGTTTTCAAAAGAAAAACGTTGAGGTTAACAGGTAGTTGCGAACATCTGCCTTTTACAAAGCCCGCGAAAACAGCGCTGCAACAAGTTATACAACATTT